ATAGGAAGGGAAAACCACTACTGCACTCCACCAGCGGCTAAAGGAAGGAAGACTGTACCTCTGATGCGATCATCAGACTCCGACGGTGACTTCCCGTCCCTTGATGAGAGATCAAAGATCATATTCACACCACATGGACCTGTCGGGTCGGATTTTTTTATTTTCGTGGGTGTGGGTTGCACACTACTCACACTGTGTATGCTACTACAGTATTTTTATACGGCCCCGGCCAGTTTAGATTGGAAAACCTCAAGTTTAGTCTGCTGGCTGCTGCCCCCAAACCCCATTGAATTGGAAAACAGTGCAGAGCTGTCCATTACCAATTTACTATGAATCAGGTGAGTTACTAATAAAATTTTGGTTAAATTAGTGTTTATTAATTTAATTTTAATTTTAGATTACTATTAAAATTTTAAATTTCTCATGACTAAATAACTAACTTTTAATGTACTAAAAAGTTAAGTGAGTTGTTTTCTTTCATTTTTTTTTGTTAATATTTTAACATGAAACGAGTTTGAAACTCGTCAAAAAAAACAAAAATATACTCGTTCAATGGCTAATTGCATTAGACCCCTAAGGGCAGGTGCGTCTTCCATTCTTTATTTTAAAGTAAATGTTAATTATTATTATTATAAGATTTAAAATCAAGGTCGGCTGCCTTTTAATTATTTCTTTCCTCTTTAACTATAGCAAGTCGCTTAATTCTTGGTTCGGTTGCATTGCAGAAAAACTCTTTAGAGTGCTAAAATGAACATCCTCACTTTACACAACAAACAATAGTGCAAATTTACTTTTGCTTTTTCTCAATCATTTTATCTCAATCATTTATCGTCCTGCTTTTCTTGTCTTTTCTTTGCTTTCTTGGATTCTTTTTCTCTCTGTTTTTTTTTTTTTTATTATTTTATCTTTTAGCTTTCTCACAAGAAAACAATAATTGTTTGTATATATATTCCCTTCGTCTTCATTTAATTTAAGCTTCAACAATTGTTTTTCTCTGACTCAATGCCATCACCATGTACCTTCACCCTTTCCTTCTCCTCTTGCTTTCTTCCCTATCCATATGTCTCAACATTAACTTCAACACTCTGCTGGTTTTGGTTCAAGTTGAAAGTACATTGTATATGTTAGAGTTGGATTGTTTCACCCTTTTTTTTTCTTCTTTTTTTTTTTTTTTTTTTTTTTTTCCTAAATTACATGTGTCGGCCTTATTAGGTAACACTTATGAGAAGTAGTGAGCTAGTTACTGCCTAATTAATGATTGAGTTTTTTTAATTTTTATTTTTAAAA